AATTTGCTTTTACTAGATCACTTGTGTCGCATCGCAAGAGGTGGATATAAACAACCAAGTATTTGCGTGTGTAGTCGAGACATATCGGGAAATTCCGATCGCTTCTGTGCCGATCCTCATAAAAGCTCAGATACGCCGTAGTCAGTAAGTCTGATTGTTATTTGAAGTTTATTTATTTATTTATTTCAAATGGCAGGCATTTTGATAGTTATCATTAGCCATTTAGCTGACTTCAGGCTTCACAGAGGGGAAGGAACATCAAAGTAGAAGAAAATCGAGGGGTGGGGTACAGAAGAGCGATTCACCGATGTAAAAGAGGCAGACAGACACAAAGGTAGAGAAAAAGGTAAGATGTGTACTATGACAAGCAGTCGGGCCATGGTGTTTTGAAGTCAGAAGTCAACTGAAGGTTAATAGACTTTTTTGCCGTATGAGTAAACGTTTCCCAGGGTGCATCACCAATTTATTTTATTTCATGTATTTAATCATTCTTTTAGGTTTAGACTAATCCCTTCAAAAGTGATGGCCTTTGGCGCCATAGCAACCAATACAAAAATCTCAGAATTGTTGACCATAGAAAATATTGGTCCATTTGACTTGCGCTATTTCATTACTACCAAGAGTTTGACAGACAAGCTGAAATCGAATTTTCAGTACGTTTTGCATTGCATCTTTACAATTTTGATGCCCCTTAACGAACATTTTACACAACATCTTTATAAGAGGAAAATTTAAATTAAACCAATATAGTAGGAGGTTTGCTTATTACCTAAAGTTAATTATTAAATTCAAACACTTCAGAAAAAATAAATATGCGAATTGGCAGATTTTGGGCTGCACCTTTGAAATACTTATCAAATGGCCAATTTTCGAAAGCCATATGTTCAAAATAAAACACCAAATGAGTGATTCATTTTGCATTTTTTTAGGTAAATTAAAGGTCGATTATACCTTCTAATGCTCAGATGAAAAAGTGTGAATTGTCTGGATTGCAAGATGTAGAATAGACGATTAAGAGCCACGAATTCACTCGCTTGTAAGCGCATTTCAACCTGATCGAGCGGATCAGTTTATAATTGGTTGGCTGAAAGCAAAAGATCGCGCTTTCATGATGAAAGTAGCCAATTAGAAATCAAAACATGTAATGCGATTTAGCGCAACGGTCATTCTCGATTGTTTTAGAGGATGATCAAACCTTTTCATTGTTTCTTTGCATTACATCAAAATTTACTCACCTCTGGTAGCGATTCAAAGATCTTTAAAAATATCTTCTTGAGATGTTTTCTTCATGTTAGAGAAACTCGCAACTGCAATCTGGGCAGACATTCATTTAAGAACGCAATGTTGACAAACATTCGTGAGACTAAATAAGTAAGCAAAAGAATACTCCGATGAAAGGTTATCTTTCAGAGTAATTAAGGAAAGTTTTTATATGAACCAATTCTCGAAAATATCAAAACGCGTGCATTATCGACCACCTTTTATTTTTACTAAAATTCGAAAATATTTAATGACAATAAGGTTTACGTACTTTTTCTGATCTAATCATCCTCCAAAACAATCACAAATTTCAGATCTCCAAAATTATTTGGAGCCACAACCCTATAGTCAAACACACTAAAACATGTATGAGAATTTAATGAGTTATTGGCAACAGATTACAAATTCCTTTTCCCTTAGATAATAATATATAGCACTTACTTAAAGATACTTCAATCACCAGCTGAAATAAAATATTTATAAAAATTTTAATGTAGACGGCCTCGATCTTTAAAGACCAAGTCAAATAGCCGTCTTTGCTTGGTACCTTTTACAATTCAACCGGCAAGTGGAGTTATTTCCATTGGCAAGAAGATTGAAATTCAGATTGAATGCTCCACGGGGTTCAATGCTTCAAGTCACGATGAAGTAAATTCAACCGGAGCTTTATGCCATCCCTTTGATCTCTGAAACCTTATTGCTAACTTCTTTTGAAATTTTAGGAATTGGTTATAAATATTTCGGATAAAGCAACAACGAACACGATTTCTTACCGACTCTCTGCCGAGGTAGTGGTTCCCGTTTTGAAATTCGACAATAAATTATCAATCTTTGAGGAGCACCTAATTTGTAAAACCCGAGAAGAATTTGAAATCCTGACCAGTAACACGGTAGGTCCTCAACTCATCTTCATTTTGCATTTAATTTAGGTCACAAGTCTAGCATATATTGAAGAGGAAAACTGCTTTGAGTTTGGTCCTTGCCAACTTGAAAGCATATGCAAAGGCAAATTCAAGGTTTTTAATTGTTCAAAGATCCCCATTGATGTTGAATTTCATATTCAAAGCGATCAAATCTCAAATCGTGGCAAAGGGAGAAGAAGTGATAGTGATGAATTGGATGTCTTTAAATTAGATCCGTCCCAATGCCGCATTGAACCCTTTCAAGCCGTTTATTCATGCTTCTCTTTTATGCCAAATTCTCTTCAAGTATATACTCAATAGTCACTTTACTTAAATTATTAAGTAGCATTTAAATTAACATTGTGATATTTTGTTCTAGACTTTCTCGTCTAACTTGCATGCTTTTGTAAAAGGCCAAAATTCCAACTTGTCTCTTTTTGATGTTCGAGGTAGAGGAGTTTTACCTCGGGTTCGTATTGTTGAACCATCTCGTAATTCAAGTGGCGAATATTGGCTTGTTTTCAATGAGAAAAGGAATTCCAATTTGGTGGTACTTAAAAATGATGGCTTAATTCCATGCAAAGTAAATTAAATTTTTTTGCAGCTTTAGTTCTAGGTATTGCTGAATATTGAAGAAACAGGAAATGAGATACGTGCCTTCAAGTTCAATGGAGGTAAATATAAATAGCGAATCACGATAATTGGCATTTCAGATATCAATTCTAGTTCTTCAGAGAGTTCAACCGACATCGCGTTAGGTATTGGCGAAGCTGGAACTTTAGAGGTGCTTTATAATGAACCAAAATATCATTCCAATGAGGAAATCAAAGGCGCTGTACAAATGACAGTAAAGGGAAATGAATATGAGAAGTTTGTAATCAAATTATTGGGAATCAAGTATAGAAAATTTACCACATCTGGACCAATTGAAATCTTAAATCTCGAAATAGGTTAGCTATTAGACTTGTCAACGTGGCATATTATTTAATGATGAATTAACTTTGAATAGCATTTCCTAGAATCCGGCAAGCAACACTTAAATCTCGGGACCTGTTATACCGGATCCCCAATTTGCAGAACATTCCTTCTAAACTACCCGAAAGAAAACTCTGAAAGCTCGACGGATTCCTTATACTACTTTCGTTGGCTAGTAGACAATCCCCATCTTGAATTCGAACCTATAAGTGGGGAAATAAAACCAGGTTCTTCGATTGAGATAATCGCAAAGTTTCAGAGTGACAAGTCAATAAAATATCACCTTTCTCCAGTTCAGTGTGAACTCTACCCATCGTCTAACTCGGAAATATCGGAGGTCTGTGGACTCGCCATAATAATTACAGAGTGTATCCTTATCTTTTTAAAAAATCAATAGAATAATTTTAATGAAAGAAAAACGGGAAAATTATAGAGGCTTTTTAGCCAACTCAAGCTATTAGTAGCTGACGAAAACTGTTACTGCCCTTTAATAGTAATTCTTGCAAAGCGTGCACCTTGTTTTAATCTAGATGGACACTGAAATTCTGCTCGATGTGTTTGATACGTTTAAGCTTGAAATCAAATTGTCATAATAAACGAATAACAATTCATTAACTTAGTGAACTCACCATGCATGAAAATGATTGTTCTTCAAGTAGCATAGCGACAGCGCCGACATAGGTTCATTAGTCAAAAATTCAGTCTAACTAATTTTCGGTGAAATTACTGGATAAATTTATATTTAATAAAAAGCGCTCTATATTTCAGAAAAGCAACGTAGGAAGTGCGGCAGCTAAAGCAGAGGAAGGATCAATGTGCGTTAGAGTTATTACTATTTCCATCATTATACTCATTCTTTTCTTACCATACATAAATATGAATTATAGAACAGCACGAGGTGATGCAGAAGTGAATACTACTGAAGAAGAGGAAGTAGAACGGATATTATTGGATGTTCTTTTCTCAGTTACTTGTGATTTCGTTGAATATGAATGCAACACCGAAGTGATAGAGTTTCCTGAAACTCCTTTGCATTGTGAATCGATTCAAAAGTGAGTCATATCTTTGAAAATTCCTTACTTGAATTCTTTGATAGGCTACAGATCAAGAATACAGGTGCTGTCGTAATGTGCGTAAATGTTGAGATGATTGAAGAGCCCTTCTATTGCGGGATTTCCAAATGCGTCATCGACCCCGGAAAGAATTACGATCTATCTGTGAGTTAACTCTTAAAATTTAAAAGACGTTAAATTAAATAACATACTAATGATGAAACGGAAAAATTCCCATTCAGAACATCATGACTTGAACTTAATTTGAATTTATTATTTTCTCTGCTCTAAACCCGAAATTCAGGTATTCATCATTGTCCATTTATGTCATTGACATCAAAGATTTTATACCCTGCTTTCACTTCAATCTTATAATGTATTATTTCATATAATAATACAGCTTCAATATCGTCCAACTCAGTCAAGAATTGACCAAGGAATATTTGTTCTACGGTTCCAAAACACAGAAGATGAATCGAATTCCATCAAGAAAATTCAACTGTTGGCTAAAGCCTGTAGCCTTCCTCTACACTTCCAGTTATCCAAAAGCGATTACCAGCCAAAATTCACACCCAGTGACCCCTTCTGGAATGAGACTCAAACTTTAGAGCTAACGGCTATCGGAATTGGGAATAAGTGCATTAGGTGAGCAATTCCCTTTTAGTCTGGTTAATTTTCTTACCTACCCAACCGGAAAACCGCTCAAAAATTATTATCTCAACTCTACTTCCTGCCTTTTGCTTTTGCAACCATAGCAACTGACGCTCATTTTTCTTGACTAGTTTGAATACTGATTTCTAAAACCTGAAAGTTTGACAAGCTGCTGTTCTATTTCTAGGTCGTTTGCAATAAAAAACGCTAGTGAAGAGTTAGTTGAAATTAAACTAGAAAGAATCAAATATGAAAAACAAGGAGGAATGGCGATCCGTCTATCGGAAAATTGTTTGGAACCAGGGTGTTCGAATGATGTAAGATATTCTTACTTACTTATCTAGCTATAGGTCATTGTCAAATTCATCAGTCGTACAATGGAGCCTGAAGAATGCTTTGTGGTATTTGAGGCGAATGGATTTCGTGTTCCGCTGATTATCGTTGGACACACAAGGGAAGCCATAGCTGCTTTCGATAAAAGTCATGTTGATTTCGAGAATGTTCTAATTGGAAGAACTGCTACACGTTTCGTGAATCTTGTGAATACAGAGGAAATCCCAATTAACTTCAAGATAGATAAGACAACTTTGCGCTGTAATGAGAGCTCGGAAAAATTAGCAATTTCTCCAGTGAATGGACTTTTACAGCCTAAAGAAAAGTGAGATTTCGTGTTTTACGAGCGCGTTTGTGCAATAAAATGGTAGATGAATGCAGTGGGAAAGAAGTAGAGACGGTACTTATAAATTTTGAAATATCAACCGGAAATCTCCAGAAACTGTGCGCGCCTTGTCGGAGAAAGCAATAAGAGCACTAATAATGTTTTTATTTTGTACTAGCAGTTGCTAAAACAGCGTTTGCTTCCAACTTGCTCAAGTATCAAATATGAGTTTAATAAGTCAGTTCGATATAATTTGCTAATCACTTGTAAATAAGTAGATTTAGAGTTCGTTTATCATGACAAAACAATTTTAAATGATTGGTCCCTTTGTACCTGAGGCTTATAATAATTTACAAGAGCAATAAATATCGATGAAATGCAAAATTCAAATAGTGCCCAATATATTGACTAAATTTTTACTCTCGATTTCAAATAAAAATAGGCATTTATCATAGAATTTTATATGCAACGTCAAACATAATTAGTTAATTAACAAACTTTCTAGTTATCCTTTAATTGGGTGAAAACCATTTAGTCCTAAATATCAAATTCCATGACATTTATGGAAATTCTTGAATGAGATCATGGCCGCTATGGTTTCTGGGTTTTCAAAATGACTGATATCTCAGAGTTAATTATGATACCTTTAAAGTATAAGCCAGGACTGAAACTCAACAATTATCGTCGGCAAAATCCCTAATTATAAAATTGCTAACGAAAGACTGATCGTATGGAATGAATATTGTTAATTACAGTTTGTGATACACTGACAAAGGCTTTTGTCGTTAAATATACATAAGGGCGGAGTCTATTGATCGGTTGTTGGCTAAGGGGTCTCCGCACTCAAGACCGTACGTCCTCATAATAAGATCAGTTATACGGCGGTACCTTCCAGATCGTCCGAGTACTAATGGGATTCCTTTGTTTAAACACGGTAGTGTTGTATTTTCTAGAGGCATCGGTAAATAAATCAATCCTATTAACAATAGGCAGCTGGGCTAGTATCTATTGGAGAATGAAATCAAATCTTTTAGTGAATCACGTTTGGCGATATTCTGTTTGTAAGATTATTTTAATTTGATAAAAATCTATGAGTTTGCTGGATAATTTTTCTATCTAATTGTTTGTTGATTCTATTCGAGAGATACTAATATGAAATATATGAAATGATATAAAATTATGTAGATTTTAGTAAAGATTACCAATAAAATAACTTAAAGGTGTTTTCTTTGTAACTCAATAGATTACCCATTAAAATTGAATTTTCACCCAAAGAAGAAAGAAAATGCAATTACAATATTATTTGCAAAGTGGATTATCGTGAACGACCTCTCCGACTAAACGTTAAAACAATCGCATTAAAGTATTCCATTTCCGCCTGGCTCATTGGCGATGGTGACAATTCGAACTTGGACATCAAGCCTGCATTGGAACAAGTTCAGGCTAATGATATTTCCAAGTTCCTCTCGTTATCCTCGCAAAAACTAATCAACTCACCAACTTTATTAAGTAAGCTTTCCACAATCGATTTCGGAGAAGTTTTCGCTTGGTGTGAACAGACAAGATTGTTTAAGTTAATCAATCAGAGTAAATTCGAAATCACATTTGCTTCCTCCATTGTTAAAACAATCAAAGAAGCCCCAGATATCTTTGCAATCTCACCAATTTCAGGCAAAATACCACCTCTTAGGACCGCTTTAGTTGAAATCAAATTCTGCTCAAAATCAATCTTTGAAGTACCACTTCAAAGGACGTGTTTTCTTGGCGTAATTGGTATTCTTAATGGACCTGTTTTTGCAGTAGACCTTCGCGGACAAATCACAGTAAATCCAGTTGAAATGGCTCCAGAGAAGCTAGATTTTGGTCCATTCTTTATTCAACCGGTCGGCTTAGGACGTGCGACAAAAAATCTTGAGATATTGAACAGGAGTTCAGATAAATCCATTTACATAACTTACGCATCCTCTTCTTTACCTGAATTCGAATGCGATCTCACTCCTCAAATGGTTGAACCTTTATCTTCAATTAAAACAAACGTTTCTTTCTCCCCATTATTGTGCAAGAAGTACGAAGGAAGTCTGTGTTTTCGACTAAACGACAGAGTGAGAATAACAATTCCAGTTACTGGAAAAGGCGTTAAACTCCATTTGGAAGCTAAACCAGGCAAACTTATTGTAAATAAGAAGGGCGAAAAGGTGGGGAAGGTGGTTGAATACCGAAAGGAGGAAATTACATCCGTGAATCTTGGTGAGCTTATGGCATCGGAGAGCAGTCGTTGTGTTGTGTTAATTAATAATAAAACTTCAGTCCCATTAGTGATTTCTGCTGCTGCCATCTTACCCAAGTCGAAGCAGCTGAATGAGGTTCATTGTGAACCCTCCAGTAATAAGACGGGCTTTGCTGATGTCATTAGCATGCAATTTTTAAAGTGTCAGGCTTTTACTTGGAATGCCAAAAATTTAGAAACTCCATTGCAAAACTGTGGAGCACCTTCCAAGGAAACAGCCGCTGCCATTGAAATCTTTTTCAATCCCCAAGGCAAACCTATTGATTCATTCGCTGAGGAGACTATGCTGAGAGTTTTTGCTAAAAGTAATCCAGAGAAACAGGTTTGGATTCGGGGATTCCAAATCTCTGGAAAATGTACTGCCGTGAGGGTATTAGCAGAGGCGACGACTGTAAATTTTGGAACTGTGGTAGCTGGGAGTCTGTTGATCAGATGCGTAGCATTTACCAATCATGGCAATAAGATGGCTAGGTAATTTTTTATATAACTTTCTCAATCCACTTTAAAACAGATATGTTTGGAATGAAAAGACTGTTCCGAAGAATATCCTTTCCATTGAGCCTTGGAAAGGCTATATTCAGCCGGGTTCCTCCGTGAATTTCAAATTTTCTCTAAAACACGACTTGAAGGATGGGGAAATTTTGCATAAGGTAAGAAAATTCTTCACTTTTAAAATTAAGTGGAGCATTCACATAAACTAGATACTGATTAACTATGACTAGTTGTTGATTTCCAACTTCTAATAATTGTTCGCTTTTTCCTATTTAAAATAAAAATTAATATTTCGAAATACTCACAGTGTATGTCCATTTGCAGGACGTAACCTGCAACATCGAAAACTCTAGTCCTCTCAAGTTTGCTGTCATTGGAACAATTGCAACCTCCTCCGATTCGGAAGTGATTAAATTCTCCTGTCCCGTTCGCAGTAACAGCGCGTATAGTATCACTCTCTCCAATCCAACAGACAATTGGTGGAGCATCAAACCAGTTTTCACTGGATCTGGCTGGAATGGAGAACCGATCGTCGAGATTCCACCAAAGGGAACCAAGGATTATCTCATCAACTACCATCCACAAAGTATGACTCAAAACGGAGTCCCGCTAAAGGTAGTTTTATCACAAAATTTATAGATCTGAGAATTTTCCAGACTCATGGTCTTGAGGGTCTTTTGTACTAGCATCGCATTACAAGCACTGGAATATGTATCGGTGAGGATTTAAATCGCAAATGGAGAAAGTCGGGCATTTGGGGTCAACCTTCATCTTAATTGTATAATTCGTTCGATATCCTGAGTGTTTTGTAGAAATCAATAATCACTAAATAGGTTAAATTTATTTATTGCACAGACCAAGAAAGGACAATTTTTCAATTTTGCGTCGAGTTTAGCTTAACCTTCGGGTTCAACTAACGGGTCCGTTGGTTCTACTAAGTCATTTCTTAATACCAGGATCTCCCAGCTATGAGTTGATATCAAGTTCATAGCTTTCTGTATTACTAACTTGAATTTAAATTTTAAGCCTCCTCTAATTCTGTTAAATTCTATGCTCCCCTTTCAGGCTCAAGTATTCTTTCCGCTACAAAATGGAAAAGGCCTACTTTACAATCTCGAAGGAATGGCTGGTCCACCGGAACCCATTGCATCCAAAATTATTGTGGAATTTTCGCGCGGCCAAAAATTTGACCTCAGCATCAGTGTTCCAAATTGGCTTCCGAAATTACAAAGATTTCGTGTTTCTTGGAAGGCTTCAGATGAGGTCAACTTTACATTTACAGGATCTATGTATTTCGATATCCCTGGAGGCAAGTCCAAAAGTTACATTCTCGTGTGCTACTCGAAAATCGAGGCTTCAACTGACTTGAAGGTAACATTATTTGAAAATGTTGTTTAAATAAATGGTGTGCATTTAAAACTCATATGGAAATATAAAGCTCTTTGTATTTGTCAAGGTTATATTTACAAATCAGAAAACTGGGGAATATCAATTTGTGGAATATCAACTTCGAAGTATTAAACCGAAGCCTGAAGGTGTAATTGAATTGAAATCCCCCCTTCAAAAGACGTCGATTTACTATTTGGAATTGAATAATCCTTTTGATAATGAAATTGTCATCGGATTGCGTTCATCATTGCCAGAATTGATTTGTCCACCTGAGTACAAAATGCGCCCACTAACAAAGGTAAATAAACTTCAATAAAAAACGAAATAATTCTTATAAATGAGAAAAGGTAAATAAACTTTTTATCTGTTAGTTTAATATTTAGTCAAAAGTTAAAAAGACGACTATTCGAATTTCAACTTTTATATTTTTATTATTCATTTTATTAATAAGATCATCAATTTTTAGGCAATAGGAATACTAGATGATAATTATTATGACTGTATTGCAAAAATATACAATTTTTATTAAGGAATTAAATCTCATTTTCTTTTTGGGGATCGTGTTTTTGCTAAATTTACTAATTAGTTAGTTTGTATCCCAAAATTCTAATTCCACTAATCATCTCCTGATGGGTAGTATATAATCAAGGAAGAGCAGTCTTGTCACTTCATTTTATTTTTTCTTCAAGTGGTCAAAAAGACCAAATTTACTCACTTGCAGTTCAACAGCTAACCGTTTCAGAGTAGTAATCATTTGTATCAAATGGCAGGCGTGTTGCTAGTTATCATTTGCCCTTTTGTTGACCTCAGGCTTCACAGAGGGGAAGGAACATCAAAGTGAAAAAAGGTTGAGAGAGGGGGACAGAAGAGTGATTCACAGACGTAAAAGAGACAGGCGGACACAAAGGTAGAAAAGGTGAGGTGAGTACTGTGAAATTAGTCGAATATGAAATGCAGTGGGGTCTTGGACTGTTTACTTAGTCGAATATGAAATGCAGTGGGGTCTTGGTAGTTTGAAGTCGGAATTCAACTGCTAATTGATAGACTTTTATGCCGTATGAGTATACGTTGTCCATTGTGTACCACGTGGAGGTAGGTCTATCGTACACCCCGAATAGTAATAATGAGATAGGCTCTAACAGCTGTCTTCGCTCAAAATGGGCATATACCAATTGGCATTCATTTAAAATATTTTAATATTTTCGTCAGTTTGCGCTCTTTGTTTGTAAATGCTGTGATACAAATTTTACTTTAGTGAAATACGTAATATTGTTAACAAAAAGGAAGTCAAAGCACGTATAGATGATTTCAAATATTGAAAACATATTAACTTAAGTAAATGTTTAATTTGAAATCTCTTCAGCATGTCCTTAGACTTATTTTGCCACATACCCTTTAGACCAAGATCCAATTGAAATTCAAGCCTTGGAGAGTGGGGAATTTGAAAGGCATATTGGAAGTAGACAGCAAAGATCTTGGCCAGAGCATTTACGATCTACACCTGGAAGCCCTCGAACCACTTCCAGAAAAGCCTGTTAAGTTTAGAACCAGTGTTGGAAAAGTGGGATCAAACTTTGTGACTATTTGCAATCCCAGTCAAAATAGGGTCGTATTCACCTGCGAGGTGAGTTTTGTTCTCGATTTCTTCCCCTGACTACCCCTTTTCTTCCCCCCCCCCTCTCTCTCTCTTCGTTAAGGGAAACGAAGATGCCCATAAAGTTTTAGCGACTATTTTGCAAAATAATTTCTCTGTATAGTTGATTCGAAACCAATATTCGTGAATATAAAATTGGCCCTGACAATTGACAACATAATATCAAACATTGATAGTTGTCATTTGCTTCAGTTGTTCTAAAGAAGAGTTTTAGCCATATCAGGAAACTACATAAACATCTAAGAAATGAAAGTCATGTTTCACAAGAACTAATAAAGTGGCATTGACCTTTTATAAAGCCAAAATGTTGATTTCATAATTAATAACCAAGTAGATATCCTTATTGAGAATCAACTACACAACTAGACCTTGACTAAACCTTTTTAGGCAAAATCTCCTTAAAACAGTGTTGAGAAAACAGAACGCTTAGGTCAACTACGAAAATATAAATAGTAATTAAATACATTTAACGCAAATTTGAAAGAATATTAATCGTTGATTAGCTGTGAAGGCATCAGCAAGTTGCATTGTGCTCCTCACAAGAATCAACTTTGTAAATTTTATTCATTGCTCTTTAATAATCCACACAATTTATTGAATTTATTTGTTTCGTTTCAATTTAAATAACCAATTAATAAGTAACTTTTAGATTAATGATTCGTCCTTCCACTGCGATAAATCCCTTCTGCTTGCCGCCAATTCATCCGCCCTGTTAGCAGTGACTTTTGAACCAGCTCAGTTAGGATCGAGGGAAGCTACTTTAAAAGTCACTAGCAACCAAGTCGGCCCATTTTTGTTCCAGCTTTGCGGTTTAGCCACACCACCAGAGCCTCAAGGCCCTTTCCTTATTTCTGCAACCTCTCCGACTCAACTCAAGGTTAAAAATATCTTTCCACAATCAATGAAATTTCAAATAAAAGTAAGAGAATTACACCATGAAGTCACTTGTCAAATAACTCTGTCAATCATCCTTGATTGTTGATATAAAAGTACGGAAATTCGTATTTGAGCTCTCAATCATTGACATTTAGTGAAGTACATATTAGTTGCCTACTTTTAACTTTCTCGCTTCTGCTATCAGAAACGACAACTGCGGAATCAAAAAAATTATACGGTCAATAATCTCAAGTATTGAATTTATAAGATCATTCTAAAATATATTGTGCAGTTGCTAGTAATAAATACTCTTCATTGAATAAAAAGGATTTGATCATATTAAATGTGCAAAATTGTATAATATTTTAAAGATTTTTTTGCCTTATTAGACGAACAATGCAAATATCCTTGTTGAATGTGATGAGGAAGTTGTGAAGCCTCAAGAAGAGTTAAAATTTAATATTTCCCTCAAGAATAAAAAATGTATGCCTTCAGTCCATGGAATTGTCGTCGTTTCGTGTCATCAAATTACGACCGAGGCAATTTCGAATTCACGAAAGCCAATCGAATGGATATTCTACGTAAAAAGCAGAAATTAAACCTGAAAGTTAAGAAGTTAAAATAACAAATAGTAACTGTGTTGAAAATATAAATGTTTTTAGCGATTCAATGATAAAAATTTATGCATTAACGGAAAGCGTATTATAGAATTTTAACCTGAATATATTTCGCCAATTAAATTAAGGTCACTTTGCTACACAAGTAATACCCATTGTAATGTATTTTGAAGAAGGGAACAGTTAATTAAGCAAGGATTATTGACAAAAGTGTTCAGATAAGAGGTGAAGGCTAAAATTGAGTGAAGTGGTTGCTAAGTGCTGTTTTTTATTATAGATAGCGTACATGTATAGTTTTGTAGTAGAAATATAAATTATGCAAAATACTAAATTTTAGCGAAGTACACCTGTAAGTTACAGGAAGTGTTCACAATTCTGAATTGAAATAAGAATCCGGACGGCTCATCTTAACCATGAAGCAGTGTTTCGGGCCACCTTTGAGAGATTATTCGAAAATTCCGTGGTAGAGGAAAGCAACAAATAATATTAATAATAATCCTAATTATTCAAAATTAAAAATTACTGCTACATATTAAAAGATTCATAATTTGTGCAATTCCATATATAATTGCATATTGAAATGCATACTTTCATCCCAAAGGGGCTTTGGTGTCCGAATTCTTGATATGAACAAAGCCTGTGTTTAATACATGCATTTCTTCTTTCGTTAATTCAAATTCTTCTAACTGAAAATATTAGAATACAATTATTTGTAAATATTAAATTTTATATTGTGGTTTAACTGATTTGGCCATGAGAACTCATGGGTGCAAGAGTAACGAAAATAACACTTACTTCAGAATAAGCAATCAACCTTGATATAAGTGTGGTCTGAATTAAAGGACAGACCTGTTTCTGTAAGGCGTGTTTAACGAGAATTTGCCCAGGAGATTTATTATATTTCTCAGCAATTTCAATTACAAATTTTTCTTTAATTGGCAAAACATATGAAGTATCTCTAAATAATTTCAAATAATAATTTCAAAAAATTATTACAATGAAGCTGGAAATTTTCCAAAGATATTTGTGACAACGGGTATGAGATTTTCCGACTTAATTAACGACAGCATCGATGAATTAGGATATTGAATGGAAGATTCGAGTTGAAAATAATGTGGTTTTATATTTGCCTGGTTTAGTATACAAGCCAGTTGCTGACGAGTAGCATTTATAAGACCCAAATAATCTAATTTTCGAGCATAAAATATTTTTTCTATTGACTAATAATTTGAAAATTAAGTAAAAAAATGAAAAATATTACTTTCCAGAAATTTAACGTCCGATTATCTTTCTCCCTTTCAAATCCCTTAAGAAATTAAACAAAACATAATTTAAATTTAGCTTACTTTGAAATCCAATAACAGAATCGTACTTTTAATAACGGAATTATCAGTAATTTGGGAAAATTGTGAACCTGTTTTTTCCAAATCACTCAAAAGATATGGTGAAATCTAAAAATTGATTTAAATTGAATCAAAATTATCTTACTGAGAGGGCTAATTTTATCGAATTTTTCTCATTATGGCTTATATTTTGAAAAGCTTCAGAGAAATATTTAAATTGGTCGTTGTTAATAATTTGAGTAAATGGTAGTTCCAATGCTCCAAAACCACCAATTAAGATCCTTTTTATGCATGTCTTAAAGTTTCCATGCTTTATATCGGGACAATAACACCATATCTCTCTATTCATTGATGAATACGTAATTTCGCGTTACTTTATAAATATTCAAGGTCATGAAATTGCTCGCGTAAAATAAAATATTGACATTACATTGATCCAAATGCATTTCTTAAACAAATATACATGCTTCGAATACTTAGTACACGCAATTAGTTTTATTTATTTTTTTCCAATCACAAAGGGCTGATATCATTAGCAATTGAAATTTCTAAAATTTTACTAACGTGCAATCATTTCTCAATAATGCTTCATGGCCACCGTTGTAACGCTATTGTGTCACTTATCACGCATTTGAGGTATTTTTTCCTACTTCTAAAACTGCGTTTGCATATTTATGGCTTTCATAAATAAAGTATCAATAATATGAATAATTCTTAATTATTTTGTGAAAGCTCTTTCCATCATCCCTTTTAAAGCATCCCTGATGAAAGACTCGAATTCTGCCACTACCAACATTAAACAAACTTGCCCATTGCAGTTGGGCATTCGGCTCACTGTAAGTACCGATGGGAATTAAAGCGATAGGTTGAACGTGCGTGATAATCAATGAGCCATATTAATTTGTCTCATCTAAGGACTTTGGGCCACTATAGATGAATTTTTATCAAGCTTTCTACAACTGACTTATTATGTAACTTAGTACATTAATTGATACAATTTGTATAAGTGAACATTATTATGATTGCCATTCTTTCTCACTCTAAGTACATCTATTTAAGGTCAATTGCAGCTTTACAGGTTCTTCATTTACTTTTCTTAAAGGTGACTGTTTAAGTGAACATAGGGCATCTTTATTCACCAAAAAAAATCCGATTCGCATTTCTCAAGGCAACTTTATTCATCTCTTTATGACTAATGGCATTTTGTTACCAAATATTTTCTATATTTACTAAATCTTCTAACGACGATATCACCTCTTCAACGATTAATATTCGTGTGGGGACGTATAATATGCACATAAGGGTGTTTATTCCCTAAATACTTACAACAAAATGGAGTACTGTGCTAACAACTCAATTGGCCTGAATTTTTAATACCCAACTTAGACCTCTCTGAGGTACATAGAGTTTTAATATCATCAGGTAAAAGTTAATCTTTGAGCTAATCTGTGACAAGATTGCATAAAAAATGCTACGTACTGCGACCAGCTTTGAGGACAACAAAATAAAACAAAATACTTAAATGAAAAGGAGCTAGTTAAAAGTTTTATGAAAGTTAGCAAAAGGAAATAAACCATAAATCAAAAAGACCAGTCCAAAAGTTCCCTCAAGTTGAAAGAGAATCGGGCGCAATGAAAGTAAAATAATAAAAATAAGGCCTCTCAAACAGAGAACTAATAGCAGAAACAACCGTGAAGAAACATTAAAGATGAAAGTGCAAAAACAGAGGCAAAACCCGAAGAAATACCCGGAAAATAAAATTTAAATACAATATGGCATTGAAAGTATATTATATTAAACTACAATTGCAACAAAAGGGCCAACAGTGACAAGAAAAGTGAATGGTTTAAGAGTTACTTGCTTCTATGAATTTGATGGGTTCCTCATAGTACTTTGCTATTCTATAAGAAGCAAGTATGAAGCCGAGCACAGAAAAATAGATGACGGCAGCGAATTTACGCTGATCTATTCGGTAATCAAAAGCGCTCTTTGCTAGTTTTTCATCAGCATGATTGGTCCATGCAACCTTCAGATTTCGATTATAGGCGCGGACATAGTTAGCTTCAAAAGATCCAGAATCATACTTCTTCAGAACATCCATATCCTCTTTAGATGGGAATTCGGTAGATGATGAAGAAGCTTTAGGGGGAAGCAAACCACGATCATAATCGGCCCTTTTAATGGAATCGCCCAGAATTTCATAGGCATTTTTAAGTTCTTGAAATTTTGCACTTGAAGCTGAGTTGCCTGTGATGTCTGGATGGTATTTCTTAGAAAGATTATAGAAGGCTTCCTTGATTTCTCGCTGAGTTGCATTCTGCTTAACACCCAAAACTTTGTAGATATCTTCTGTACCTCTTACAATCGAGGTTTTAAAGTAACGCAAATTTTGTGGTTGAAACGTAAGAAGCCTCAAATTCGAAAGCATACGTGAGGTCAGTGGCATTTTTATAGGCCAATGTGATTGGCTCCCATAATATTTACAAGAAAGGTGCTAAAAATTAAACTTATTAAAAGTACTTAACATTAAAATTGCATGTAATACTTATTTTAAAGAAATATCAGTTTTAAAGTGATTCATTTTTACTCAATTTAGTATTTTAATGCTAATCCAAGGTACTAGTTAGCAATAATTTTATATAAGAAATCAAGATCATTCCTAAGATCAATATTTCGAGGGAGGGGTGTGCGAGAGACTTACCTCCACGTGGTGCACCCTGGACAACGTATACTCATACAGGAAAAAGCCTATTAACTGGCAGTTGACTTCAAACTACCATGACCCCATTGTATGTCATATTTGAATACTTCCACATTACTCACATCACTTTTTTTCTACCTTTGCGACTGTCTCTTACATCTTTGAAACACTCTTCTATTTCACCCCCCCCCCATCCTCTCGACTTTTTTTTCACTTTTATGTTCCTTCCTCTCTGTGGAGCCTGAAGTCAACTAAAGGGCTAATGGTAACTACCAAAACTTCAGCCATTTGATATAAATAAATAAATATTTTGGGGGACAATATAGCAAATTTTGAATAAATACACATTTCAATCCTTCTTTATCTGGTTTGGCTACTTTTGTATTGGATTCTATTAGTTCAGTCTTAGTGAATTAATGAAGAATTATATATGAGCTTATTTATAAAAGTGAAATTCAGTTTTTCCTCTGATTGGTTCTAATTAAACAATAAATTTTTAAATATGAGGTTATTTTTAGACCTTAAACGCATTGCGAATCTAATACTAAGCACAAGTGAGTCAATTTTGAATCTATTTTGGACATTTTTAATTATGCTTTCAATGAACTTTTTTTAATATAACAAGATGGAAGAAACGGTACTACATTGAAATTAATAATTGAGCGTTATTTTCCAATAGTGTCGGTTATAACACCCTATTTGCCTTTCTTCGATGCTGAAACAACTTACTGGTAGTATGACACTTATTTTATTTTTTTCTGTTTTGAATGCCATTGTTATTGAAGGCCAAGTTCTTGCGCATCACGAACTAAATCAGCACAATTCATTACCAAGCTATTGCAAAATCGTATCTGGAGTTAGAAAGCAAACTATGCGTAATATTTAGATGAGATTCTACTGCGTTTCTTCACTTTTGATAACTTTCACACATAATGCTATATATGAAGGAGCATGTACCTTAATGTAGGGTAGGTTGAAAGAACATTCTTGACTAATTGGGATGTTTAACCTATTCATTATCCAACAGCTCTCAGACGATGTAAACGGAAGGCACTTTTGGAGGCATTTAGACGGAATATAAAATTCTTCATCCCATACATTTGTGAAACTTGCATCACATTTACCAGATGATTTGCGTTTTTGAGCAGGTGATCACAGCATTTCTACGTGAATAGACAAAAATTTCATTTTATATTTACTTCGTTTGGTATTCCAATGCATCACATAAAAATTGGTTTGTTGTCTAAGAAAAAAATCGTCGAATATGCTTATTACAAATTGACGTAAAACAAAACGACACAGAGTTTTTATGCTAGTCATTAAACATAAGTGCACAGGCCTGTTGGTCTAAGCAACTTAACATTGAAAATGATACGAAACATGGGGTCCGCGATAGATTTACCTCCATGGGGTGCACCCTGGGCAACATATACTCATACGGCAAAATAGTTTATAGACCGGCAGTTGACTTCTCACTTCAAACTACCATCACCTCACTCTATGCCATGTTCGATATCTTCCACAGGCTAATGATAACCATCAAAACGTTTGCCATTTGATATAAATAAATAAATTATGTGAAACACTTTAGTAAATATTTAATGGTTAATAATTGAAACATCGATAATAATTGACGAAATTAGACTTATGAAGATATTTTATTATTTAATAGTACTACCTGATGCTTAAAATTGATTGTATGCTATTTCAAACTCCACTCTTTGAAAAGGCAAAAATGTGCCACAAGGTCATTTTTTGTCCCACCCATTTGTTTATGCATGGGCTATTGTTATTACTGCTTGTTGGATCGTAAGCTAATTAGCTGTTATGCTTAAGATCTAAAACTCCCATTTGCGTGATTTACAGTTTCGTGTTTTTTATTTCAGATGGTGAAATACTTGACATTCTCGAATATTAAGGTTGTTATTGTGGGATTCTTCATAGGAATGTTGTGCTCACTTATTTTGACCTCAACAATGAATTGGTATCACCCTCCTCTCCTTAAGCTTAAACCCTTTCACGATGAGCACAGTGGACATCATGAGGGTACGTTACTGATAGGTCTATATTTCATTCTGCCATACGCACTGAGGCCATGTGTGTGACACCAGCCTTATTTGATCCTCAGGTTTAGGGTTTGTGGTTTAATAGAGACTCTAACGGATTAATATCTGTAATTTCGGGTAAATATCTTTGAAACTAGCATAGTCTTCTTGTCTATTAAATTTCCTTTTAGTTTACAGTAACCCCCTTCGCCAATCATACGTTCTTTCACGAATACCCTATCCCTTATCACCTTTTTGATGCTATTGCAGGTTTTGAACTTAAAAAAATCATTTCCTTATTCTATTAATGTATTTCACTATTATTAACGTCATATCAGATTTACGAATCCTTTCAAATTCTTGGTCGCTTGGTTGTTCCTTGGTATAGTTCTAGACTGCCATTCTAATAGCTTTTGCTGTTCACTGTTTTTAAACAGCTGTTCTTTACAACAATGCAATTTTGTATGGGTGGATTGATAAATGTAGAGCTCTCAGATTTGCCAATGTTGTGATCGAATATATTGTGATTCGCAAATATGCTACCCTAATTGGCATAATGTGATATAAAATAAATTAAACCGGTTATTTCTCCTATTCAGTTATTATTTCGCTCATGTCAGTGTTTAATTAAGCTGCTAGAGACTTATTTCAGGCTCTCTTATTTTTTTCATTCTCTCCTTTTTGTCGTTTCATTCCTCTTCGATTGTCCAATACAACGCTGGTTCGACCCGATTCTTGGTCTTCTGTTTCGGAGAAAAGCTGCTGCTTTCTGTTAGCCTTTGGGTCAACCATTTGTTTTGTGAATAGATGGTTCTAAGTCTACTTCCGGTTCCTATAACAAGTTTACTTAGGTTACTTAGTGACACTAAGATTTTATACAATCTTTTCAGTAGGGGGTTTATAAACAATTGTTGAATTGGTTCACAAGGAAAGAGGCTCAAAAACTTCAGTCTTGTATTTTAAAACTGTTTGTTGCAGCTTCATATTGACTTTCTTAATGTTTCCACTTGACTGACTTTCATATTGCTGTGTGTGGTTAGATGGCACAGATCAAAACTTTCTTCGATGTAAGTGAACCGGTATGTCTACGATGCCCTTGGTGATTCGTTGGGTCATTAATTCAGCTTCCCAGTATTACAGGGGGATTTTAACTAACTTATCTTTCCGTTCGTAGGAGAAACTATTCTCGTTGATCAATTAGCAAGAAAGACTCCAGTAATGGCTTTCATATTCACATCGGAAAAGGGGCTAGCCAACAGAGCTTCTCATGTCAAATCGACATGGGCTGATCGATTCAATGAGGCCGTTTTCTTCAGCGACAGGGAAGATCCAGCTTTCCCTACTGTTGGTATGTTGCCAAACACTATTTACTTAAACTTTTTTTTTGCACCCCTAATACTAATTCGAGAATTAGGATTGGTTTGACGAATATCTGTGGTTTCGTACCCCTTTTAAGATGTATGCGGCAATCTTTGTTTATGCCTTATGATCTTCTGTCCACTTCCTATCAGCTTTCTTACTTTATACTACTTCGTGCGTGTATTTAATGATATACGATGTAGTAGTTTCCCTATTTTGAACTTTACCTTTACTTAAGTGATCTCCAATTATCTCACTTTGGGGAGATATATTGTCATATTTATGGGAGGCCGAATAGAAACTTTTGATGCCCTTAATAGAATTCGTGCTACTTCTGTAGACGAAATTAGTTCCTTGTTTATTAGCTCATGTTGTCTCATATTCGTCACCTATTATGAATTCTCCTTGATATTATCACTCGATATTTAAAATACTTATTGTATTCTATTTCTTCTCTAATTACCTTATTGATTTACATGGTAAGACAAAGAAACCATACAATTACAATTTAATGGAAACATCTAAACACGTACGTGGAGGAACTCCGATCTTTAAAGGGAATATTTATGCAGTAAGTTTAAGCTTCAAGGGACCAGAATGACTATTTCACATGAGTTCCAGAATAAAGTACTTTTTAAATTGATATTTCATCAGACTCGATTCCTCCTTTCATCGCACTCATAAGCAAAATTAGGATAAAAGGGCTTCGTGTGATATCACAGTAATTTTTTTTACCACATATCTCCTGAACCACCAACTTGATGTGTCATTTTTTCGTTTTATGCCAATTAATGTAATATCTGTTTTTAGCCTTTAGTAGCGCACATATTAGAATTAGGCTTTTATTCCTCACCTGCAATTACCCTCTCTTAACTAATATGCCTGCGTTTCTATACTACATCTTTACCTCTCTCTCTCAAACCCTCATTCACAATGGCTCGCTCAGATTCAAGTGCCTAATTTACACAACGTATTGGGAATTACGCACAGCAGGTCCCCGAGAGAACACGTACCGCAGCGCGTTAATTACAATTGCCTAGATAAATACATGGATTATATTTCACCACAGAGGATAGCCAATCATATTCAAATTGCCTTATCTCAGGCAGATTTATTATATGGCTAAATAGTTAAAGCACGGGCACCATCATTGAATATTCTTCATTCCAGTCCCTTATGATTTTGACGTTATTCGTTCAAAAAAACTTAGTTTTTATCTTCTTTCAGCCCTTCCTCCAGCCAAAGGTTGGGCCTACACTCGTTCGGCAATAACGTATATTTATGAAAACCACGGCAAGAAATTCGATTTCTTCATGAAAGTGGAAGATAAAAATTATGTTATTGTGGAGAACCTTCGTGAAATTCTCAAGACAATGGACTCTGCCAGGCCTCTTCTTATTGGTCGCCGAATGAAAGTACGATCGATTAGTTTTGTTATGTCTTTGATAATAAACGTTGGGTATTTTTTAGTAATTTTATTAATTTTTTTTCATTGAATATTTAGGCAAAAGATGATAGTACCTATGTGTCGGAGGATGCTGGTTATGCTATCTCTAGAGCTGGCTTAGAGAAGCTGGCTGCCGCGATCAAGGGTGATATTGAGGCTTGCAAGATGAGTGATTTTCCTACAGAGCAAGTTTTTGGTAAGTTTTATTGTCATACTTTTCTTTATCCCACGAAGCCTCTGGCTGTAATTTCTTAGTTGCAGAAGGAGACCGAATTTGGCTTGGAGCTTTTCTTTTAAAAAAAGAAATATTTTGTTTTTTTCAAGCTGAGGGAATACCGAAGGCTTTCTAAAAATGAGAATACTAAGAGTTGAATTCGATCACAGTATTTTGGTTGGTGTGGGTAAGAGGAGAGGAGAGGAGAGGAGTTTTGCCCCTTTCAATGGGATGGGAAAAGTGTCAGTACTGAGGGAGTTAAACTCCGAATTTAATAAATAGGCTGAATTTAGGTAGATCCGCTTTTGATTTCTCGACTTGTCAAAATAACAATCTGCGAATTAGAATTCGAAGAGGTGTTTCATCGCGTGTGAACGCCGATTTGAGCAAATTAAGGTGCGATAAGCGGACTTAGCTGGTTCAACCTACGCTTCTGCAACCAGACTTATGCACCATCCTGTGTGTACTATATTTTCCATTTTTTGGGGTGCGCGGTAGACTTACCTCAACGTGGTGCACTCTGGGTAACGTATACTCATACAGCAAAAAAGTCTATTAACTGGCAGTTAACTTCTGACTTCAAACTACCATCACCCCACTGTATGTCATTTTCGACTACTTCCCCATTATTCATTTTACCTTTTCTCTGCATTTATGTTCACCTGTCTCTTTACACCTGTGAATCACTCTTCTGTCCCCCCTCTCGACTTTTTGTTGCTTTAATGTTCCTCCTCCTCTCTGTGAAGCCCTAAGTCAGCTAAATGGATAATGATAACTATCAAAGCGCCTGCCATTTGAAATAAATAAATAAATAAATATTTTCCATTTTTTAAAGAGATATTGCTACTTATGCATAGCTCTAGATCTAAGGATTGGTTGGTTGCGTCCATGACTTGATTTAATTTCCTGACCGGAGAGCGGAAGATCGCTGTCCAATACCCTACCCACGGGCTGTTAATTCTCTTATCGGATTTGTATTCTGTTACTCTGATCTTTTACTTAACAGGACATGCCCTCCCCCCCCCCTGCCCCAGATACCATTTTGTGTCTTTGTGAACATATCTTTCCTATGTTCGTTTTGTATCTTCATATCAATTAAATATTAAGATTGTTCCTTCAAAGTATTGACTTAATAATTTGGTGTAGAGAAAGAAGATTTCGATTAATATTCCAACAACTTAAATGCACAAATTAGATATAATTAGAGAGGCGCGCTTTAACTACAGTTTGGTTACTTATGAAAGGATTGCCTGATTTATTTGGCTGTATCGAAATTGTGTATTTATGACGCGCAATATCCTATCTGATCTGCTGATTCCTGCCTGCATGGGTTAGCGATTGTTGATTAATACTGTTTTTGAGCACAATAAGCAGCACTTGTAAAGGCGATTTATTTTTCATCAAGGTAAATGCGCGGAAGCAGCAGGATTAGAACTTATTCACGCAGTTGACGAGAAGGGATTAGATGTCTTCCACCCATTTTCACCCAAGGACTTTTTCAAAAAATTCGTGAAAGAAAAATACCCCGATCAAACTGTGTACCAGCCATCACAAATGAATGAGGTTAGTACCACCACCTTTCGGTGTCTTGGTTTCCCTTGTGACCTATGGGAGTGCCTGCATTCCTCTTTTTCCTCATTTTTGTTTTAGGTAATTACATCCTGCAGCGACCGGTCAGTGTCTTTCTTCGATGTTCAAGATTCTCACCTTTACATGCTGGAGTACTTCTTTTATCATCTTTATCCCTATGGGATTATTCGGGATCTTGAAAACTACCAGGCGATTAGGCGTCTAATCATTCATTAAGTATTTGCACAGATAATTTTGTATTTTTAAAATATTACCCATTTGCTGTGACCTTATCTCCTAATTTTCCTACTTCCGCGTGATTGTCTTAGAACGTTTGACAAAATATACGTTTCCAGACTATGAAGTTAACTGCGCTTGATAATGTCTCTTATAGAGCTAAATTTCCACAGATATCAGTACGAAGACCAGCAGATATTTACTGGCGAATCAGTGTATTTTTATAAAATCGAATCTATTGAACCGAAATCCAATTACTACTAATCTAGTAAACGAGAGTTAGATCTGAGGAGATTCAGTTCTACATAAGTGCTAAAGGCAATTGTGGCATTAAAAATTAAATTTAATATGCCTTAACACATTAATTCTATTACTGAGAGAGAGCATATAAATGAAAGTATCACTATAATAATTCAAGAAAAGGTGGTCCTATCCAGCGATTCCTACTTAATCGGATCCACTAGGTGTGAATGGATCTAATGAATAGCACGTGGTCAAGATTTCATTCCAGCTCAAGTTAATCCTTGAATTCCAATTGGTTTATGCATGACCTTGCATATTATAGTTCCATCTCTCCAGGCTTGGATGTAAGATGATGCCATTGAATCCAAGTATCGTTTGATCAAATTTTCTGGTTGTCAATCTCATCCAAAAGTTCGTGGAGAGTATAATTAAGAAGGTTGGGTATTCCAAGTTGAACTACATCCTAACTGGGAAAGCTAGCGAAGTTCTTACACAGTAAACATCTTGACATTCTAGTTTCATTAACTGCTCCTCTTCAACCCTCGTTCCCCCCTCTCCCCCCCCCCCCCCCCCCCCCCCACCCTACTGTTTTGGTGTTGTGTTATGACTAGAAAACCTAAAAAGATTAGTATTTAAACTCGGCGGGTTGGGCACAAGATGGCACATCAAGTAATTCTACGTACTTTATTTCGCGCTCGCACAAACTAATAGGACTTTTATACTCAGCGCTCCCATTTCCTACTTTCTCTACTTAAAAGTCTCTCCTTAACACTCGTTCATTTCTCCACCATTTTCCAAAACAACTCCCAGCCTATTACTTCTTGGAAATACTATTTGAGACACCATGAATGGTTGTTTACCCAACTCTGGTAGACTCTGTGAGTGGCTTTATGTTTCTTGTACTCGAATTTCAGTATAAAGCTTTGTGTTTGAGTACATGGTTGGTTTGTTTTAATCACTTATTTCCGTAGGCGAGCAATTAATTTGCAATTTCAAGCAATCATTCATAAGTATTTCAAAATTGTCTAGCATTCTCTTTGGCCTTGCTTAATATCAGAATAAAATCACATGTGAGGCCACTTCGTCGTGATAACTTTCAAGAACAAATACTTTTGTCAATTTGTGGTCCTGTTATAATTAGCTCTGTAACCTGATAACCGCAACGACGGGCTAATTCGTTAGATGTCTTAATATTAGCATTAGTCAACTTATCCCAAGTATACGCTTATGGGAAATATAGTAGAAGGTAATCAAATATTCCCCAAGGTCGACAATAAAAGATCAATGCTTTGGTGTCTGCTATTTAGACAATTTACTTTCTGTCTCATGCTCTAATTAATTATTGGGTTGGCAACTAAGTCATTGCCGTTTTTGTTGACAGATTCACTCTATACTTTCTTTTGTTTTGTTAACGTGGCCAGAGCATCTAACCTATATTTTTTTCTTACTGTATGGGCTTCTAGGTTAATTAGTAAAAAATTTTTTTGTTTAGTTCTTTAGTTTTGTTTTTATCCCAATTTAAAAATGAAAGAACAGGACGTGCACTTCCGACACATTTTATTGTATTACTTCCGAAAAGGCAAGAACTCATCGCAAGCACAAAAGAAGTTATGTGCCGTATATGGAGATGAAGCCTTAAAAGAAAGGCAGTGTCGAAATTGGTTTGAAATATTTCGTTCCGGTGATTTTTCACTGAAAAATTCACAACGATCTGGCCTCCCAGTCGAAGTGGATGAAACCCATATCAAGGCCATTATGGATTCAAATCGTCACAGCACAACACGAAATATTGCAGAGAAGCTCAATATGACACATACATGCATTGAAAAAAATGAAAAACCCTTGGTTATGTCAAGAAACTTGATTTATGGACCCCTCACCAGTTAAAGGAAATTCATTTGACGCAACGGATTAGCATCTGTGATTCGCCGCTACTGAAACGCAATGAGAATGANCGACGAAAAGTGGATAGTTTATAACAATGTTACTCGCAAGAGATCATGGGTGAAGCAAGATCAACCAGCCCAAACAGTATCAAAAGCAGAGATTCACCAAAAAAGATTATGCTGTCAGTCTGGTGGGGGGATCACAAAGGAATTTTGTATTTTGAACTCATGCTGCAGAACCAAACGATAAATTCAAATGTGTATGTTGAAGAACTCGAAAAACTGAAGGATGCAATTGAAGATAAGTGGCCGGCATTATCAAATCGGAAGGGTGTTGTTTTCCATCATGATAACGCAAGGCCCCCGCACACATCTTTGGTTACTCGGCAAAAATTATTGGAACTGGGTTGGGATGTTTTGTCACACCCACCATATAGCCCTGACCTTGCGCCTTCGGATTACCATTTGTTTCGTTCCATGCAAAACTCTTTAAATGGTAAAATTTTAACAACGCGGATGATGTCGGATCACACCTAATTCAGTTTTTTAATAGCAAAGACCAGACATTTTACGAAGGGGGAATTTTTACTCTGCCAGAAGGATGGAAAAAGGTCATCGACAAGAACGGCCAATATCTAATTGAATAAAGTTATATTTTTAAACAAAAATTCCGAATTTGCCTTCTTATTTGAAATCGGTAATGACTTAGTCGCCAACCTAATACATTGAGAAGACAGAGGTCCCATGTGGATTCAGAAATGTAAATTTGTGTTATTTGCTATTTAAAAGTAGTTATTTGAGAATATTACGAAGAGCAGCATAGCAAACATTCCATAGTTCACACCCGGTGTTGGAGGTGCGCACCTTGAACTTTGCTGCACAGATCGCACATCTCAACATGCTTTGGGAGGCTCCTACCAATTCATATAGTGTGATTTCCATCATAGTTATGCCCCTTTGCGTACTTCGTAGTTTGTTATGCTTGGATCGCTCTTAATTTGCACGCTTGAATGTGTGATTACTTCAACACACCCTAGCATGGTATTCGTTTGGTGTTTAGTTGGTAGGATGGAAGTCTGGAACCTATGGCTCTGTCTTAGTCAAATCTTGAGTTTTGAGAGATTGTAAAATACTGTACATTTTGTGCTGAACAATCTGATATTTATGACCTTGCTTGCGACTCAACATGTTTACTAATTCCAAAATTCATATCAACAGGTAGTCATTTATTTATATCAAATGGCGGACGTTTTGATAGTTATCATTAGTCCTTTGGTTAACTTCAGGCTTCACAGAGGGGAAGGAACATCAAAGTGGGAAAAGCCGAGAGGGGGGGGGGGTAGAACAGAAGAGTGTTTCAAAGATATAAAAGAGACAGACAAAAAGGTAGAAAAAAATGAGGTGAGCACTGTGGAAATGATCAAATATGACACGGAGTCAGGTCATGGTAGTTTGAAGTTAGAAGTCAACTGCTGGTTAATAGACCTTTTTACCATATGAGTATAAGTTGCCCAGGGTGTACCACGTGGAGGTAGGTCTATCGCACGCCCCACAGGTAATCATGGGTTTACGCCAATCGAGTAGAAGAAAGATGGATGGCGAATAATTGCTGAAACCAAAATTTAAACACAATAAAGCTAATTTTAGCGCCCACTTAAATGCTTTCATCAGTTATTGCGAATTTTACTGACTTCTGCAGATTCATTCTTTGAAAAACGTGCTGCACCCACGTTGTCTTGTCATCTTGGCCGCGGTACACTTTCTGACAAAGCTAATTATTAGTTGCTGAGTTTGTAATGAACATTCGTCCTCCAGACCCTAAAACAACTCTGGAAGGAGCGGTTAGCTCTTCACAACCTATCCTACTTCAAATGTCTCTTGCGAGCTGGATTGTCCCCGCTCAATATTGTCAACTCAGTATTGCACTTCATTTGAAGCTGATGATAAATTTCATAAAGCCTACCATTAGAAGTAATCTTCCACTTCATTTCCAGTTGTTTAATATGGGTTTGTCCTCCCAAATTCTTGGTCTTCTCAGTTGTTAAGAGGGGCTCTTTCTCTTTGGACTGCTAGAGGATATCTGATCTCATTTAATGGGGCTCCTAAAGAAGCGTTATTCAGGTTTACAGAAAATTTAAGGGAGAAATTATCGCTTTATCGTGAATAATAATTAATATATACAACAAACAAGCCTCATTTATCATACCTTATTTGACAGATTACGTCACTTGTATGCACTAGATAATTTAACTGTCCCGCTTTCGTGTTATTGGGAAAATTGTCAACTCGTGACACGTTTATCTTATTAAGAATTTCACAGGAATAATTAACTTACGAAATCCATTCTGTAATATGTTCATTTAAAATAATACTGTTCTAAGTTATTTAAATTCTACTTTTCTTAATATTATGCGAGTTTTAGTAATTGGGTTATCTTGAAATTATATTTAGGATAGGAATAAGTTGGTGGGTCGTTCCAAGCTATTGGATTTGCAGAAAAGGCGGGAAAATGAACCTTGCAAATCCCGCTTTTGTAAAGTTCGCCAGTTTGGACTTGGTGAGGATGAGAATGCCACAATTGGTGAGTTTGCAGATTATTGTACTCTTAGTACCATTAGTGCAATCTTACTCAATATCCCACCTCCTATTTGGCAGATCACAGCTAAGGTATTTGTTTTAAAGACATTTCTTTTCTTTACTTACTAAGGCAGATAACTTATTAATATTTCACAGAAATCTCAATGGAGAGTTTTATTTTACCAGCGTTGAGACTAAACGTTGCAAATATATATTTAGACAACAAATTTTCATATTTTTTTGTTTTTTCATGTCCAAAGCTTAGCTTAGGTAAATTTGAATTTTTTGGGGGCGAAAAATGCCCTGTTAAACAATTTTAGTAAGCATCAACGCTTAGAAGTTTCCAATCGATTTGCATTCTAAGAAACATTATTTCAGCCATTAATAACACAAAAATCGAATTTTTACTTTGTTTTAATAGAAGCTATTCACATTTCTTTCTTTTTTCAATTGCGGAGGCGTTTTTATAGCGATGTCATCAATCTGACATTGCTAAAACGCCACATAAAGTTCCAGTTGCTTTTTCAACATCTTTGTTTGCTTCTCAGTTGCTTTCAAAATGATGTTTCAATTCTTCGCATATTGGTACTATTGCGGTTTGATCAAAATGGCATTTTATTACTATGATTCAAACACTATCACTAGCTAGAGAAGAGATAAATGGAATGAACATTTTCGGCCTTAAAACCAGGATCTCCTATTTGATATTGGTGCAAATTTTTGCACTTTCAATGCTTAAAAGATTTGACTGTGTCATTGATTTCATAGTGAGCACGTGCGTTCGTGAGTGCAGAAATCTCTCAGCCAATCACAAATCAATATTCGTCATATTTTTGTCGTAGACCTTATTGTATTTTACTTAGTAAGCTAAGTGGCGGTACACTATTGGATGTAATAAGCACATTCCCTTCATACGTTCTGTTTTCCTCAATACTGTGGCGATAGCTTAGTTAATTTCTGGAGCAATTTATGCTAGGCGATTTTGCCAGAGAAGAGTGCTGAGATTTGGTCAGGGCTTATGTGGGTAGCGTCCCTCTAAAGGTATCCCATTTATGGGCGTCGTCATTTCAATGATGACATCCTCAAAATTGAAACAATTTTACTCCTTCTTTTCCTTTTAGAATGCCTCGTTATTCACAACAAACTCGACTCCTATTCTTCGGTATATTTGTGGGAATTTGCTTCTTCATATTAATCCGATTTATCGACAATCCCAACTCGGACGGAAATGTTGTCGCACGTAAGTTACAGCTTTGTAAATTGCGGTTTGTAACGCTGGCACCTTTGTAGGAAATTTAGACAAAACCTCTTCTATTAATGACAACTCAAAGTCTGCAAAAGAACAGGAAATCCAAGTTCGAATCTTCGCGATCGTTATCACAAGTCCAGCCGAAAAGTATAAGAAGGCAGTTCACGTCAAGTCAACTTGGGCGAAGCGTGCAGATGGTTTCACGTTTATTAGTTCAGAAGAAGACAAAGACCTTCCTTCCATTCGCAAGTCAATTCATTAATAGCATTAATAGCAAGTTTCATGCCTCAACATTATGACAAGGGGAAACAAAGGTTCAACAAGGTGAAGTGATATCAGCAAAAGCTGGGTATTTAGAAATAGGAAATCGCTTTCATAATTAATTTGAAATCGTGAGCATTCAGTTGTCACTGTTTCCAACTAGGTTGGAAGTGACATTGTGATTTCGTATTGTATGGACTTCTTCATTGAACTCCCAGTTTCACGAATGAGACTATGCTAACTATACTCATATCTCATTGACAGTGTGACTTAGTTCTATCGTTGGTCATATCACATCGATCACTTAATTATGCTTTGTGGTCAAGAGTACCCAAAAGAGACCAGTGACGAAGTGAATAGTACAGCTATGCTGAACAAGTTGAATATTTTTGCAGGTGCAACGGACAAAGAAGGTCGTTCAGTCCTCTGGGAGAAGACCAGAAAAGGATTTATGCACATCTATTATAACCATCTCAACAAATATGACTTCTTCTTAAAGACGGATGATGATACTTATGTGATCGTTGAGAATTTAAAATTTCTACTCTCATTCCTGAATGCCTCAAAGCCATTTATCATGGGAAGGAAATTAAAGGTTAGTGTCTATACGACAGTTAATTACTTTTGAGTTTTTGTCAAAAAATTTTGTTAAAACTGCAATCTTATCCACCATTGCAAATATTTGTAAATTTTACTTTAAAAAAGCGAACCAAAATTGTTCAAGTTCCTTTTTACTAAGTTTGTTTCAGAATTTGGAGTCAATTATTACTTATTTACTACAAACATGTAAGTTCCTCGACTGAATTATCTTCCTGTAAGAAAAGTGAATTCCGTCTAATTTATTTGTACACTTATTGCTGGATTAAAGTAACCAGTAGAGACATTTGGCAATCCTCATCTTCGGTGACATTTGGGGTGCCCTCCGGTGATAAACTCGTTTACTAGAACCCCTCTGTTAGTCGGACTTAACCAGTAATTTGCCCCATTCAGTAAACTGCATTTACACCGGCAAGTATTCCATCGACGAGCTTGTTTTTCCTCTCTCTCTCTCTCCCTCTCTCACTCACTCAGATAAGTGGAGATTCTGAAATGGCTCATAACATTCACCATTCACTAAACCTGTCTGTATTGGTCAATAACTCTACTCCATATCACAACAGCCTCCAACAAAGCCCATCCATTTTGAAATCAGTACACCCTATCATTCAAATTGCAATTTTTTGGCAGTCTCATTCATTTTTAAACCTCCTTACTTAAAGACTTTAAAATTGGCACTGCATTTTATTTATCGACCCTAATAAAAATAAAATTTTCATTATCATTAAGATGGTTCACTGATTAATTAACACTAAAAAGTCATTAAAAACATAATTGCTATTATTATTATTATTATTATTTCAAATGACAGGCTTTATGATGTTTATCATTAGCCCAGAATCAATAAAGTATTTTGTTTATATCAAATGGCGGGCGGTTTGTTAGTTATCATTAGCCCTTCAGTTGACTTCGGGCATCACAGAGGAGAGGAACATCAAAGTGATAAAAATTCGAGAGGGGGAACAGAAGAGTGATTCACTGATGTAAAAGAGACAGGCAGACAGACACAAAGACAGAGAAAAGGGTTGGGGCGAGTATTGAGGAAATGGTCGAATATGACATACAGTCGGGTCATAGTAATTTGAAGTCAGAAGTCAACTGCCGGCTAATAGACATTTTGCCGTGTGAGTATACGCTGCGTAGAGTGCAACACGCGAAGGTGTCTATCGCACACTCCTCATTATAGAAAGTAATTCTAATGCCTTTAATTTAACATTTTTAATTATAAACCGCTAACGATAACTATCATAAAACCTGCCATTTATATATCATAAATTGAGCAGAAAGTGAGTAATTTACTGAAAATGGAAATCTTCACAGTTGTAATTCGCATGCATCAAAATCGTACTTTTTTCTGAGTTGCAATTTGATATTCCATAAGCACTTACTTTTTTAAGCTTTGAGAGGCACTAAAATTCATTGAAATAAAAAGAGAAGTAAAAATAGTAATACCTGACTACAAAACAACGGAAAGATGGCTGTGAAGAGTAAATAGGCGTTAGAAGAGCACAGCAATCCCACGTGGAAAGAAGGTGTTATTATTAAAAAAGATAAATCAGTGTTTTATAGTTCAACAATAGCATATGGAAGACATAAATCGAGGATATGAATTAAATATTTTATTTCACTGATGAGTAGAAGTTTTGACGAGTATTCGTACCAATTCATAAGTCATTTTAACTATTGACTAATATTTCTACCCAATGTATAAGCCATTTGCTCGAAAAAACTTAGGCTAATGATCCCGAATGAAACGTTTTGAATATGAGGTGTCTTACATCCGATAAAACATCTACCATAAACAATGGGAATTTCATTCATGAAAAATGCTGAACCCGCAGTATTTAGATTTGGGATTCATATCTTGTTATACTCTAGATCGTTAATGTGCTTGAGATGATCATTTCTTTTGGAGATCAAC